AAGGAGGATACTCAGGCTGCCAACAAACATATGAAGAAATGCTCATGATCATTAGCCATTAGAGAGATGCAAATCAAAACAACAATGAGATACCATGTTGCCCCAGCACTAGCACCAAAGTTGAACAAGACACAAAATAACAAATGCTAGTGAGGATGTGGAGAGATTGGGCCTGTCATATACTGCTGGTGGGACTGTCAAATGGTACAGCCACTGTGGAAAGCAGTAGGGTGATTCCTTCAACAGTTGAAAATAGAAATATCATTTGATCCAGCCATTCCATAACGAGGTATATATCCTAAAGAAGTGACAGCCATGACAAGAACAGACATATGCATACCCATGTTCATCGCAGCACTATTTACAATAGCAAAAAGTTGGAAACAACCTAGGTACCCATCAACTGAGGAATGGATATCAAAACTATGGTACATACACAGTGGGATACTATGCCAATTGAGTTCATATTAGTTAAAAAAATCAGTAAAAAAAAATAAAAAACTCAATTCATTTCTAACCTGGGTAATTTTGGAAGATAAGGATGATGCTGTCTTATACTAAGTTTTACCTAAAGATAATCTGAAGTCTTCCACAGTGAAGCCAAGGCCCTGCTCCCACAATGAGAAGGCTTCAGCAGTGGTAGCCCTGAGCCTTCCAGCCTAAGGCTTAGAGACTTAGCTCTTCCCTAAGAGCTAAAGAGGTAGGAGGGAAAGTACACCCCAAAACCCTGGCATCGGCTATACCCTGAGACCCTTTTGTGAACTACATTGAGCAAGCAATTTTCAAATTAACTAATCACCAAAGTAGAATGCAACACCTACTAAGTATTTAATGTAATTTGCTTTAACATTACATAACAAATTTTCAGCCAAAGTTTATTATGTGAATTCTAATTAATGCAAAGCCCCTCAATAATGAAGTTTTATATTTTTTGTACTTTGTTAAAAAAAATGAGTTACCAATTCTGAAAAAAATACCTCCTATATACATTTCCACTCATCTTATTTACTATACTATGGTATAATATCTTTACATAGTAATAAAAACATGATCCCATATTATGTGATCATAAATGTAGTAATGCTTTAAAAGCCAGCATTTTATAATATAATGCTGGAATAAGCAGGATAACTTGTAAGAAAGAGACATCAATCACATTGAAGTGTGGAGTTTATTGTGCAGCTTGGGGAATAAGGAAATCAGGGGGTCTGATTGCACAGCTGGGCCTTCAAGAGACAGAAACAGCTTGAGAACTGACAGTTCAGCATCTTTGCAACCCTGGGTGACTCTTCATTCCCTTCAGGAGGCATTTGTGGATCCCAGTTGTAGTGTTCTGCCATTCTTCTGACTCATTCTGCTTTTCCCCTTTTGGTTCCTGTTTGTTTCTAACTGTTCTGCTTTCTCCCTAGGTCCAGTTCAAATTATCACCAAGTGAGACTTCAAATAATTGCAGAGGCAGCCTGTTGGGCAGGGCATTTGTGCTGGACCATTGCATATGCCACTGACCAGCCAGAACTCGGTTGTCCACGAAGGGCTTATCCTGGTGTGGTAGGTAAGCTGTGTGTCAATTTGGCTGGGCCTGCTTTTGACTGGCTGGGCAGCTGGATGCAGTTTTTCCTATGATAAGATTGGTAATCAACTCCATGGTGGAATCTACTGGAGCAGCTGAGTAGCTGCCTTAGGCATGTGATCTGCTTCCAGTATTTAAGGAGAAGCATAGAGAACGGTCTCTGCAGCTTTTTGGCACGCTTGGACCCTACATACAGCCAAGTCTTCATTCAGCAGCCTGCCATGTTTCCTGCTAATCTCAGACTTGAACTAGTAGCCTACCGGGTTTGGTAATCTTGGGACTGTGCCATTTTGTTTGGGTTTGGGTTTGTCAGCCTCAGCAGCCAGCAGCTTCCAGAGTGAAGAGACACCTCCAGCTCCAGTGGCTGGGAGCAAGAGGCAGAGCTGAAGCCCAAGGTTGAGGGGCCTTCACCCAGTCCCTAGAGTGGCACTTTGAACTAAGACTTCTATCCTCCTAAACTGTAAGAGAATGAATCACAGTTTGCTTAAAACCACCCACTTTGTGGGGTTTTCTATTAGAGCAGCACAATGTAACCAAAATACCTGGGTCCCAAATGGTTATCACCAGGGCAATATGGGCCACACAGAGCCCACAGGCAATTGATGAAGAATGAAAGCCTCAGCAGGTGGTCCATGGTTGCAGGCATTCTGAGGTCTTGCTGGGACAGACTACAATAATATCTTAGGGCTCTCTTATTTTACTAAAGCTGCAGACTGAATTTTCTTATTAAATGGGATCACCCTATATTTCCAAAGAGTAGCTCAAGCTTTGAGCTACAGTATATTAATGAAACAATAATTGATTGTGAAGCATGTCCCCTGTCAATCATTTCCACCCTTAAAAGAATTGAAGGAAAAAATGGATAATATACCAAGCATAAATTTTGTTGACAAACTTCTCACAAAAGAGAATCTAAGGTGATTCTGAAGTGATGATAAAAGATTCTGCCAGACTTATTCTTATCTGTCTTTGGTCTACAGATGCATAAATGTATCATGGAGAAAAATATTTCCATATAAAAAATCAGCCTGACAATAGAAAATGTATAATTTTACATCTCAGCATAAAATTAATCAGCTAATTCTGAATAATTAAGAAGAGTATTAAAAAATCACTTTAAGACCCAAAGGAAAAATAACTAATAAAGTGAGGATAGTTCTAGACACTTGGTTATATAGTTCTGGATGAAGGTCTCATTGGAGGGTTCCATAAGATAAAAATGATTTCCTGGAAGACGGTGTGTGTCAAAAGTTCCACTGGTTACAACCTTCCAGGCTAAAAAGAAACAAAAGTTAATAACAAATGACACTAATTACAACAAAAGATTGACCTCCTGACCACTTCTCTAGGAGCTGACACTTAGTGGTAGAATTATATCCAAGTCTCATGTTCTATGAGTCCTACATTTTTTCATTTCTCTAAGACCTACCAGTACACAGAATTAAATGCATTCTTTCATTTTCTGTGCAAGCAACATCTCCCCATTTATACTACATAAGATTGGGCCAATTTTCTACTCATATAGTAATTGTAACACCATCAAACAAATACTTCAATAAAATATCCCAAACTATCAAAATAATTTCACCTTTTATGTCCTTTATTAATTTATCTTCGGATCCAAAAAAACATGTTAGGTCACAAGAAAGAACAGGCTCAGATGGGGGATCAACACTGTAAACATAAAAAAACTCATTAATATTTCTCATGATCAACATCTCAAAATCATTTCTGAACCTAGTAACGTCACTTAAATCAAATATGGTGTGTTTTCATTTCTTTCCCTTTTGCTATTTCCAGCAATACATATTTTTCATCAATGGCACTTCTACCTGTCAGCACCTGTCTGAGACTCACAGTGGTCCAGGCCATTTCTCAATGTCATCTAACCTCTAGAACACTACAAATGGCAGCAGATGGCACCTGTGCCCACAGTCCAGAGTGAGGCTGGTTACAATTACCATTTCCAACTATTATTCCCCAGAAATGACTCTTGTGGTTGTTGGGTGGTATTGAGTCAATTCTGAGCCATAGTGAACCACTGTGACAACATAGGACTGCGCCATAAGGGTTTTCTAGGAGCTCTGGTAGCATAGTGCTAAGGCACTTGACTGCTAACCAGGCAGCTGGCATTCAGACCCACCAGCCACTCCTCTGAAGGAAGGTTGGCAATCTACTTCCATAGTGATACTGCCTCAGAAACCCAAGGAGGGGTCGCTATGAGTCGGGTCTGACTCAACAGCACACAACAACAAGAACAATCGTTAAGAGAGCAAATCACTAGATCTCTCTTCCGTGGAGCCACTGGAGGTATTCAAACTCCAAACTTTTGTTTAACAGCCGAAGACTTAACCAATGACCCCCTGAACTCCTTAGAAATGACTACTTCTCTTGTATTTCCAGCCCTCCATGATCCAGGAGAGGGTTGAAATGCTCAAGCAAGCCAGGCTTCTTAGTTTATTTTATCCAGTCTCATTTTAATCACAGCAACAATATTTACTGAGGTAGGTGCTGGGCCTATTCTAGACAATATCAATACACTGATAAATAGTCCCTGCCCTCATGCAGCTTACAAACTGGCTGGGAACAGGTATCAGTAATCAGACAACTAGAGAACTATGAAAGTTTAACCAAGTCCTGGATGATGTGAGAACACTGGCCAGAAGGGCAGGGTAGAACCAGGCTCAAGAAAAAATTCCCTGGAAAAGGAATCTCAATGAATAGGAAAGGAAATGAGAGAGGGGAAAAAAAAAAAAAAAAAAAACTTGGCAGACGGAATAGAGGCAGGAGGGAAGAGGAATAGCATGATCTTAATGTAATGGTTATTGTGTAAAGAATGAAGGGGATATGAGAGCAAATTAAGGTAGAAGAGTTAACCAGAGGTCAAGTGTAGCCCATGTAAAGGATTTTGGTCTTCCTTAGAGTAATAGGAAGCTACCACAAAATATTTTAAAATGAATTCTTAAAAAAAAAAAAGAACATAATCAAAATTGACTTTATCCCTCTGGGTATGGTTGAGGAGTGGTCTGCAGAGGAGTAAGGGGGTCTGAAGGGGCAGTGGTGACTCAGTGGTAGAACTGCCTTCTTCACAGGGACCTGCATGTGATTTGTGAGTGGGCTGCTCTTATGTAGCCCCCACCATCTGTAGGTGGAGGCTGGTGTATTGATACAATGCTGAACAGGTTTCAGTTCAGAACAGAACTTTCACACTAAGATGGACTAGAAGAAAGGTCTGACAATCCATTTCAATGGAAACTCCATGGATCCCAATGGTTTGATTCCTTTGGGCATGGGGTTGCCATGGGTCAGGCAACTCAATGGCAGCTCACAGTAACAATGCCAAAGGCATCTGAGAAGACCAATTAAGTGGCCCTTTCAAGAATCCAAACAAGGATTTCTGCTTTGGCCTAACACATAGAAAACTGGAAGGAGTATCATTCCCACCCAAACAAAGAGAAAATGCTAGATAAACTATAGAATTGTCTTTTAAACAAACAAACAAACAAACAAACAAACAAAAACTGCATCAGAGAGCTGAGATCGCAAGGCATGGCAAGCAATAATCCAAATTCCACGGAAGGCCATGCCCCTGTAAGAGACAGGAGTGTGGCCTGGCTCACTCATGGCAAAACATAGAAGGACTAGGTGATTGCTATACAAACAGGTAAAAAGCAGCAGCAACAATTTCAACAAATTGTTACAGCCTAAGTATCACACTGGAATAGCAGGAGTCCAAAATTCAGGAAATTCACACTGACTCACAGCCTTCTTCCCATAGACCTCCAACAAGGCCTCCCAAGAAAGAGCAAAGCAGGAGGCCAGAGAGAGCAGAATAGGGGGTGGTAGCCCTGGTGGCACAATGGTTAAGCACTCTGCTGGTAACTTAAATGGTGGTGGTTCAAACCTACCTAGAGGTTCCGCAGGAAAAGACCTGGTGATCTGCTGCCATGAGGATTGTTGTTGTTGTTGTTGTTATGTGCTGTCAAGTCAGCCCTGACTCATAGCGAACCCTCCTTGGCTTTCCGAGGCAGTATCACTACGGAAGTAGGATT